GATCAGCGCATTAGAACTGCAACAGAAACCGGAGCATTTGTTCTGTATATTACAAAAGCACGGCAAAGTGATACAGGAGTTTACTTCTGTATGAAAACAGGAAAACAAGACTTTAAAATTTTGAATGGAATATTCCTGAAAGTTGAAGGTAAGTACACAAAAACGTCTTTAGGTCCTACAGAAATTTGGGACTTTACATAGTTTACTTTTTGCTTGTGTTTACACATTTATTCATGTGTAAATAAAAGGACTGTTTACATAATTGAATTTGTAATTTGTTTTTTAATAAACATGAATGATCGATGTGTTTCTCAGGACCAAAACCAGCTTTCACTACAGCTCCTCCATCTGATCCCGTCCATGAGAAACCTACATTCACGCTGCAGTGTTCAGTCCTCCATGACTGCCAGGATAAAGCATGTCCAGCAGCTGATACTGTGTTTTGTTTGAATGCTAAATCACATAAACTTCACTTCAGTTTGAATCATACTCATACAAATGGTGGAGCTGAATATGAAAAGAACTTGGATGGACTATCAACAACGAAATGCTTCTCCAGCTACTTGAGAAACGTCAGCACCTTCGATTCTCTGACGTATTACTGTGCCACGGCCACATGTGTGGAGTCTGAAGATACAACAAAAGGTGATACTGGAGGCGAGTGCATCATATTTTTATATAATGGAGAAAATATTTGTGCATTTGATTTGATTTTAGTTTTGAATCTAATATTAATCTAAACATGATTAATCAAATAACTAAAAAATACTTTTAACAACCATTTTAATAATGTTTTAGGCAAATTATTTTCATTTTGTGTCGGCAGTCAACAGGAACAATACAGTTCTCTATCTGTTATCTGCTGCTTTGGCTATAAGTCTGATTGTTATAGCCTCTCTAATTTATTCAATCAAGAACCTGAAGACGCAACCATATATGGACTGTAAAGGTAAGCAGTCACTCATACTGTACATCAATGTATCAAATAATACTTGCAAAAGTAAACTCATTTCAGTTCTCTGCTTTTATGTGACGATATAGCTGCTGCTGGCCTGCAAACAAATGTCGTTCCAGATGGTGGTCAAGAAAATCTGCAGGTAAATAAAATATAACTCTGAGCTATAAGAATGTTTTAATGTCTGTATGTGTAAATATTAATATGTGATGCTTCCTCAGGTGGATGAGGACTCGGTGGTTTATTCTCTCGCAACTTTTAAAGAAGTGAGCAAATCAAGGACAACAGATACACAACCTGCAGGGAGCATCTACACCGATGTCAGGGCGCTTGTACTGGATTGACATCTATCAAACTCATCAATGTGGATGCAAATGTTTATACAAAGTTTTTGGTATAAATTTAATTTATCATTTGGACAAACTGAAAGAAAATATGAATTTTATTTTTTTAGGTTTTTGTCATAGCTTACATGCAAAGATAATAAATAAACAACAGATGCAAACAACTGAATGTTTTTAAGTTTGAAAAAAAAATGTTTTTATTGTGATGTTTCACAATAATCATTTGTATATGTATGCATGTTTTTGTACAAAGTAATAAACAGTTATAAATAGTCATGGTGGTAAAATCACAGACACAGATTAATCTCCTTATTGCCCATGGAAAAAAGTCTTTCCTAATTTGCATCTTCAGATTAGAAATTAGTGACTAGAAAGCTTCTATTCTTTCTTAACAGACAAACATACTGTTATGCAATGATATTAAAGCCATATTAAACACAAAATTCAACTCACTAATTATTTCTTGAAGATTTTACTTAATATTGATTGTGGTTAAGTTGATATAGATGTTATTTTTGATGTTAATTAGCTATGAAGTTTGCATTTTGGAAACCTCTCAGTCAATGTAAGCCGCTTTGAAATAAATAACACATTGTTTTGTTTATTAAAAACTATTTTACAGTTAAATATTAACGGCAAACCAGGAGAAAAATGATTTACATTACATTACATTGTATTTTTTGTTGTCGTCCTTGCCAGTAGTTACACTCGATTAAGAGTAGTGTTCTCCTCCTAAAAGTCCAGAGTGTCAACTTTTGTGAATTTCTTAAAACATTTTTCTCACAATCTGAGTAATGGTGATGGACAGAGCAACATGCGCAAATAGTGCAGGTTTTTGACTGTCAACTTAAGTGTGATGCATTTTTTTTAATTACCTAAAAGAGGCCTACAAGATGAGCATCGAGGGCTTCCTCACAGACAACCAGCCCTATCAGGTGTAGACATTCATCCAAGCATCCAACACACACACACACACACACACACACACACACACACCTTCAGCTCAACCCACTCTCC